AGCTCAAATCCTCCAGGCCCTCCATGTGAGAGAGATAAGGCTTTCCGCAACTTGCAGTTAAACAGCCTTGTGGCCCAGTATTCCGTGTTGTTGTTGGAGCTCCACACTACACGTCTCGCTGCTGCTTGAAGTTCTCGCTGCCCTGGGTAGAACTGATTAATAGGGATCCCAAGGCTGTGGTACTGTAGGATAAGCACTGGACCATGAAGTCAGTTTGAAACATAAGCTGGTGGTTCAAATCCACTCGGCTGTTCCTCGGAAATCCTATAGAGGCCCTATGAGTTAGAACTGACTCAATGGCACTTAACAACAACAATAGTCTTTACAGAAGCAAACTGCCACATCTCTCTCTTACAGAGCAGCTGGTAGGTTCAAATCAACTCTCTTTAGCAGCCAAGCACTTAACTGCTTCACCAACAGGACTCCTTGGAAACATGGCTGAGAATGAAAAATGAGAAGATTGTAAAATATACAGTACACCGATTACATAGGCTAAATGTTCCAAAAAAGACTTAAAAGTACGGTACAGATGGCCTTGGTTATTGACTTAGTTCACCGTGTAACTAACTTTGTTTAAAATCAACTGTGTTTATATATCTTATTCCATTAAAAAATTCCACTAAAACCAATGATAAGGAAATTAAAGAATCCTACCAATTTCTTCCATTTGAAATTGATCAGGCATACAATCAAGATGCATTGATAATTAACAACCATTTGAGTTCAAAAGTTGGAAACAGAATAAGGATCAGTGGTTGAAAAATATAGCCTTGGTGATAGAAATGATGCTAGAGATCTCATGATAGAATTTTACCAGACTGACAACTTCTTCTTTGCGAATACCTTTCTTCAAAACATAAATGGTGGCTATATATGTGGACTTAACCAGATGAAATCCACCAGAGTTAAACTGACTACATATGTGGGTAGGTAACTATGGAGAAGCTCAATATCATCAGTAAAAACAAGGCCAAGAGCCAACTGTGGGATCAATTGCTCATATGCCAAGTCAGGCTGAAGCTGAACACAATTA